CAAATTTAGCACTTTAATTTTTATAACAATCAATTGTGCATGTCTACCTATTGATGCCAAACAACAATCAGATTTAGACTGCTAACATACTTGAAAAAATTCTTCATTATAATCCAACTTCTGTAGTGAGCCAATGTGTAAAAATTCTCTTTTCCTGGATCAAAATGATCTTCCCTATAGACAGCTTTGACATTTCTGTTGCTGCATAGCATTGATAGATGTGTAGAATGATTTGCCATCAGTTCATATGGACTTCAATTGTGTTTGCATTATAATATGCTGCTGTATATTGCTGGCCATTCGTTGCATTTGTAAGACAATTTATGACAATTATTTTTATTAAAAGAGAACAATGTTTGTAATGTGATCTTGATGTCTTTTCACTCAAATATGAAGAGGTAAATACGACTTGAACTTGCTTGAATCTAAGACTTAATGATGACATCAGTCCTAAGCTTGGCATAACAAGATATGGAGACACTAAAAAGATAGAGAAACAGAAAGGACAAAAAGAGGGAGTGAATGTAATGGTAATTCAAACTTATAACACAAGTAATGATTGTCAGTACTCATCGGTAATGGATTTGAGACATAATGATATAACTAGTCAACTGCATTCATGTATACATGTACTTGTGCTCTACTCAATCAGTGAGTCAGTGACATAGACATGTGACAATTCAGTTCCATTACAATTAAAAAGTGTTCCATTCACTCAAATACATGTACATTACATACATGTATGTATCACATACCATTATGAATGCTTCAGCCCATCCAACAAGTACAGAAATTATATAAAATGTTCCATTGTTTGAGTTCATCTTGACACATCCTAATAAATACAAAATAGAATAATTGAATGTACATAAAACAAGGTCTCACTGCTTCTTGATTATGGAAATAAGTGTAATTCACTGTATTAAGAGAGCGAGACAGAGATAGTAATTTAAGTATACGATGCTGCTGATGCTACACTTACTTCTTCAAATTAGGCATTTCTTTTATCATTAATTGGCAAGTATTTGTCTTTCCATTCTCCTGTACAATAAATGACACAATAAATTACTGACCAAAAGACATATCCTACTCTCTTTACATGTACATGTGTGTATATATATGTAATGTACTATAGTGTGCATTGTGTCTTACCACAACGTTTGTTAGCATGTGTTTCTGTTCCCACAATATTTGCCAGATATTTCAGCAAGTGCATTTGATGGGACCTCAACAGATAATGCAGTTATGCCTATAATAATATTGTAATAATAACAATGCTGATGTATACAGCTGCTCACTTGCGCTAACGCGAGAAAGAGTGAAGACATGTGAGACTGAGAGGTATACCTAGAGAAGAAAAGAGAAAGAGCAAGAGTTAGACATACAGTATACATATACATGAGGAGGAGAGAAAAGCAAAAGAGAGAAAGAGACATCAAGAGACAAAGATATACAAAATAGGTGTCAATTAAGGAACACAAAAATGAGGCAATGGATACATGTATTTTTAAAAAGGGAATAATTTTGTGTTATGAACCTATAGTAACATTACAACATGCATTATGCAGCTTTACTAAACATTATAATACCATGTAGCAAATAATACTTAGACTACATGATTAATGACTGTGGAACTTCAATGCATAAATCATGAGGAATCGTCTGAGACCATACGTGTACAAGTAAACAATCACAATGACTACCATAGACAAGGCACTCTGGGCATAACTGTTATAATGGAGATTTCAATTGCGAGCAGTTACACTATTAGTGATTTAATTAATAAAACTTTCAACAAAGCATTATTTTCAGTTTAAGTTATTTACCAAAAGTTTTGCTACTCAATAAACATTCTTGATAAGGCCTAAATGTTTTTTCCATGCTTAAAATTCATCCTATACAGGTATAATATTATAGTATAGGTAGGTGAAGCAAGATTATAGATAAAACTAAATCAAATACAATTATGCTGTATCATCAGACCCATAACCCAATTATTGTACAATGACAACACAGTATAGACCTGTATAACAATTTCCAGGCCTGGTGGTCCCAAAGTAGTTTTAAAATGAGGACAAGTAGTGTGGTACCAATAGTATCTTTAATGTTCAAAGTACACAAAATTTTACATGCATTATGTAGCCTGGATTAGGCTACAAGGAATAAATTGAACAAAAATGTAACATTGAGTATTGCATCATCATTACCATTCAATTCTACTAGAAAATGCAAAATATTAAGGGCCCATTCCATTCAAATATATTACTAGATGGATCATGAGGTGAAAAGCAGGCGACAGCTAGACTACATGTGTAGCTTCATAACCGTCATGTTAGCAATTATACATATACATTTATTATTGACTTATTATGCATTACAATTGAAATATCATCTGAATGATGACAAAGCATGATGTGGCACAATATTGCTGATGCATAGTATAGTTCAGGCTCAGACATTATTTACACAATTGAATACATGTACAAACCAGGTGCTAGGCTGCAGGAAATCATCAGAGGTGAAGACTGAAGTTTTCAGCATACCATCATCTTTATTGCAACCTTCATGTGGCTTGCTCCGATGCACAATGGCATACAGTACTAAAGGTCTTCTTTCCAGCAGCCATTCTTATAAATAAGGGGTTAAATTTAATACATAACTAGTTAATAACCGGAACTTTTACTGTCATGTGTGATGGGAGGGTTCCGAACTTTTCCTATCTAATGTGACGGGAAAAGTGTACGAACCGGGTGAATATCTATGCCTCTCCCCATATTCCTAGATACGCCCCTGTGTAGCATCTTGATGTCGTGGTATATCTATGTATGAGATAATCGAATGGCGATACTATTGTCCATACTGACACAACTCAAGAAACTATGAGCAATGCATGTAGATATATAAGTGAAGTATAGTCTCCTTCTGACGTTGCAGCAGCCCAAACTCCTGATGAGGCCACAACACATGTAGCAAGGTAAATAATAGCAAAGGAGAAAAGTAATAAAACACCAGATAACCATGATAACCATGATAACCAGTTACCGGACAGAACAGTGAAAAAAGGACCCCCCTATAACTGGCCACATATGTTAGTTCAACTGTATAAAATTACAATTTTTTATTTGTGTGCTGTAAATTTTAGTGTTGGACCACAGTGGTGTCTTTTTGAGAAATTTTCTGCTCGCAAGTTGTAGCTGTTGTAGCTAT